AGATCAATTGGGGGAAGACGCCAGATATCCATCTTTGTCCTCCACATGAAAGTACACACGTGTACATGCAGACAACTCACATGCACACACCCGTATAAACATGTACACAGACTACACATGTGCACATAAGCACATGCGTGTATGTACACACACACACATACAGAAACAAACAGCTCTCTTTTGGGTGATGGGGAGAAAAGAAAGTGCACGTGACAGCATCCCACAGGAGCCCGAGACCCAGCTGAATCGATGAGGCTGAGTCATAAGCAGTCAGTGGAGAACTCACAGAGAGGAAATGTACCAGGCAGCTCTTTGTGACATGAACAGAAACCAGCTCTGACTAACGGAAGCCCAGCAGGGGAACAGGACAGCAGGGGAACGAAGTTACGTATGAAGAACAACGCCCCCCATACACCTGTGCCTCCCATACCCCAGCATCTCCTCGCTGAACGCGGGATACCGCCATCAGCACCACCACACCGCCGTCTGAGGGATTTTACCCTCTGATGGTCTACGAGAGTCCAATCTATCCTGCATTGCCTCACCCACTCCTAGACCAAAGTCCACGCGGGCAGGTGCATGAATGCATAGAGCTGGACACAAAGGCTCATGGGAGCAGGGTGTGGTGGCATGTACCTGCAATCCCAGTGCTCAAGAGACTAAGAGAGCCAGGACAGCCCGGGCTGTGGAGCCACTCGGAAGCTAGTCTTGGGGTGGCTTCTTAAGACCCTGTCTCAAAAAAAATTTTTAATTGTAAATGATGTCAAATGGGGGCGGAGGATGTGCTCAGGTGGTAGGGTGCTTGTCTAGCAGGCATGAAGGCCTGGGTCCCATCTCTAGCATGGCATAAACCAGGTGGAGTCGGGCATGGTGGCACACGCCTTTAATCCCAGGACTAGAGAGGCAGAGGCAGGCGGATCTCTGAGTTCGAGGCCAGCCTGGTCCACAGATCGAGGTCCAGGGCAGACAGTGCCACACAGAGAAACATCGTCTAGAAAAACAAACAAACAAAAAGCAAAACAAATGTGGTGGCTCCTGCCAGCAATCCCAGCCCTGGGGAAGTAGGGGCAAGAGGATCGTAAGTTCAAGACCACGCTCAACTACATAACAAGCTTGAGATAAGCCCGGCTACTTGAGACCCCATTTCAAAAATAAAAACAAAGAAGATGTCATCCGAGGACTCCGCTCTGGTTGGGACAGTGGCATCGCTCCAAGCTGTCTTCTGCTGTCTCCATCTCTACAGAAGGAGTCACACACGCCCCTCTAGCTCAGCTTTGATTCTTCTTCCTTCTTTACCTCACAGATCATTTATCAACTTCGGCTGATTAGCTCATCATAGTCAACTCTGATTGTCTTTCTCCATTTCCTCCTTGTGCCTCGATAACCTGCCTCCTCCGTGATCTTCTGGCCCTCCATCAATGCTTTCCAATTATCCCACACATTGCTATGTGACTAACACTCTAACCACGGAGCCGGCTCACAGCTTCTCACCGCTGTTTTCATTAGGTGGTTCACCAACTCCAATAGCCGTAATTACTCCCAACTGCCCACTGCATCAAACCCTAACACCTCCCCCGGCACCAGCAGTAAGGAGCCCTCTTGTGTGGTCTCAACTTTCATTACTCACAAACAATTAGGCAACCCAGCCCATCACCTTTCTGTCGTTCCGGACGAATGACGGGCAAACTGCTTGCTTCTTGGTTTGCTTGTTTCGGATGTACTGTGTGTTTCCGTGTCTGTGTGCGAGTGTGTGTGTGGATGTGCGGGCCCCCAAGGACGTAAAAAGCGAGCGGCAGAATCCTAGGAGCTGTGGTTACCGGTGGGGCTGTGGGGCCCTTACATGGGTGCTGGGGATCAAACTCAGGTCCTATGCTCTCATGCAAATGCTCTCTATGCTCTCTATCCCTAGCTGTTTCTTCTTCTTCTTCTTCTTCTTCTTCTTCTTCTTCTTCTTCTTCTTCTTCTTCTTCTTCTTCTTCTTCTTCTTCTTCTTCTTT